TGGTCAGTATTATCCTTGCTGCACAATGTACCCCCTTATTGGTCAGTATTATCCTTGCTGCACAATGTACCCCCTTACTGCTCATATTGCCTGCTTCTACTCAGTGCACCCCCATACTGCTCATATTGCCTGCTTCTACTCAGTGTACCCCCTTACTGCTCATATTGCCTACTTCTACTCAGTGCACCCCCATACTGCTCATATTGCCTGCTTCTACTAAGTGTACCCCCTTACTGGTCATATTGCCTGCTTCTACTCAGTGTACCCCCTTACTGGTCAGTATTATCCTTGCTGCACAATGTACTACCTCACTGCTCATATTGCCTGCTTCTACTCAGTGTACCCCCTTACTGCTCATATTGCCTGCTTCTACTCAGTGTACCCCCTTACTGCTCATATTGCCTGCTTCTACTCAGTGTACCCCCTTACTGGTCATATTGGCTGCTTCTACTCAGTGTACCCCCTTACTGGTCATATTGCCTGCTTCTACTCAGTGTACCCCCTTACTGGTCAGTATTATCCTTGCTGCACAATGTACTGCCTTACTGGTTACCATACCCCCTTGCTGCTCAGTGTACCCCCTTACTGATCATTGTACCCTTATTGGTCTGGGTACCTTTTTGTTTTTCAGTGAACCCCCTTAAGGCTTAGTGTGCCCTGCTTCAAGTCAGTATACTCCCTTACTAGTCAGGATACCTCCTTGCTGCTCAGTGTACCCCCTTATTGGTCTGGGTACCCTCTTTAGTGTACTCCTTGATGCTTAGTGTTCCCCCTTGACGGTCAGTGTATCCCATCCCTGCTCACTGTACCCCCTTACTAGTCAATGTACCCCTTTACTGCCCATATTGCCCCCTTTCTGCTCAGTGTACCCACTTATTGGTCAGTGTTATCCTTGCTGCCCAGTGTACCACCACACTAGTTAGTGTGCCCACTTGTTGGTTAGTGTATCCCTTTACTGGTCAGTCTACCCCCTTTCTGCACAGTGTACCCCCTTACTGGTCAGTGTACCCCCTTACTGGTCAGTGTACCCCCGTGCTGGTCAGTGCACCCCTTTACTGGTCAGTCTACCCCCTTGCTGCACAGTGTACCCCCTTACTGGTCAGTGTACCCCTTTATTGGTGAGCATACCCCCTTGTTGCTCAGTGTACCCCCCTACCTGTGAGCATACTGCCTTGCTGCTCAGTGTACCTAGGGTTGTCACCTGTCCAGGATTCACCCGGACAGTTCGGGTTTTGATTGCTGTGTCCGGGTTTCTTGGCAGAATAAACCCGGACACCAAAAAATGTCAGCGCTTCGCTAGAGTGTTCGTGTTTCGCTTGAAGTAAAGGTGGCAACCTTAAGTGTACCCCACCTGTGAGCAGAC